CAATAATTATAAATAAATATACAAATTGAAATATTAGTATGTAAAATAAATAAATTTAGAAATACATCAATATTATTCTTTTCTTATTTGCAATATATGTTATAATATAATCTGATATGTTTGATTTTCATTAATTTGAAAATGTATAAATATTTAATTTTAATGATATCTATAATTTATGAGGAACATTAATTGTAATAATAAGAAATGTGTAATTTACATTAATATCTGCTTCTGTGAAGTTATCAAAATCTTCGCCCATGATTTTAGCTAAATGCCGTTTTCCAATATTATACTCAGTTATTTGTTTTTCCATAGATTTTTCTAAAATCAATAATTATTTGAACTTTACTGAATTACTTACGTTATAATATATTTAAAACTTACTGAATTCTTTAGATCGTTCTAAATATACTTTCATAGCCTTACTAATCTTTCTTTCAGAAAATTTGTCAGGCTTATCAGAAATAATTTGCTGAATGGCATCTGTAGAATATGATTTAGAAATAACATCCTGAAATCATAAATTCTATATTACTTAAAATCTATATTAGTTACTGTTACTTTTAAGGTTATGTGAAAATGAATTAATGAATTAACATTTGAATGAATTTTAGTATTTTTAATTTACCGAACGTTGTATAATATTTAATACACTTCTAATAGTACCAAAATTATCGATATTCATTAAATTTCGCATATTTGTAAAACGTGTAAACATTAACACAGTCATTTTTTATTGATTAGTGATTAAAATTGATTTTTTAAACAAATTATCATTATATGCTTTATAAATATATTAATTTAATAACAATATCATATATTCTTTCTTATTTTACATTTTATAAATCACGCATATATACGATTATTTTTTATCAATGTATTCTTGCAGAATAGATGTGTCATATACATATATCTTCCACGATATCATATAGGTATCACAAGACATAGGATATTAGAATTATAACTCTTCTCAAATAATTTTTTAATTTAATTATAAAAGTTTATAATTGTATCATATATATTTCTATCAAAAAATATATTATATTATTACATTTTTATTTTTATTATAAAAATTACTAATAGCATACAATAAAAAATTATGTTAATATTACTTATAAAACGTAATTGTAAGGGATAATATATAATATAAATAAAAAGTAAAACTATTGTACATTTTAAAATATTCGTATATTTAAATACAAAATAAAATCTCAATTTATAATGAATATCAATAGTAAATACACTGTAAATAGACTGAGATCATTACTTTATCATTTGCAAATATCTTATAACAATTTTTCAGATATAAATTTATATTAAAAAATTACCAATTACATTTAATGGTGTTGTTGAAATGTATATGTATAAGAAATATTCTTAAAAAGTTTCTTTGGAATATAATTATTTTATATTATAAAATTTAAATTATTATGCTGAAAAATATTTTTCCAATTGACATATAATGTTTTATTGTAGTCTTTAAAGTAGAAATATTTCATTGTATTTTAAATGGAGAAATTTATATTGTCAACTTCACTTTAGTGGACGGAGAGTTGTTAATAAAACTTATACAATACTTTGTTTTATGAAAAAAATATAAAAATATAAAATATAAACTTATAATGTAAAAAACATTATAAAAAAAAAATAAAGTTTTACATATATAAATTACGTATAACGGTAACTGCAGAGTACATAAAAATAGATTTTTAAAGATATTTAACAGATTATTATATATATAATATCACGTAAATGCAAGAATATGAACACTCGTTTAGTAATGATGTTAATTTAATTCTAATTCTGGAATGTATGGTTCTGTAATAGCAGTGACTGGACAAATGCTTAAAGTTTCCTGAAAATGCAAAATAGAATAATTAGTTCAAAAAATAAAAAATATTTTATTTTTGTGTATTTAAAATTACATGAAGCATAATTCTTACCAATCTTATCAATTCTGCAAATGTTGGTCTCTCCTGGCTTTCTACATTCCAACAAGATAGCATAACTTCATATAATGGATCAGGAGTATCTGGTAATTGTGGTAATCTAACTCCTTGTTTAATTGCTTCTTCCACTTCATCATCAAGTGAAATATTAGAATATGGTGTACCACCCATACTAAGCATTTCCCACAAAAATACACCAAAAGCCCAAACAACTGCTGATTGATGTTTCCTTTTATTACTAAAATACTCAATAGATGTCCATCGAGTATATTTTATATCCTCTAAAGCATATTTGGATATTCCATGACCCATTACTTTAGGTGTCCATTCAGTTGAAATACCTACACTACGTGTACAGAGATATTCATGAACAATTTTATAATTTTCAAGATGTTGCAAAGCAGATGCTATCATAGACCCTATAGGCAGAATTTGTTCAACAGGAAATATATTTCCAGATCTAGCAGCTAATAAACAATTTTTTAATGTCTGAGGTGGCAATTCAAGTACAACATACAATGTATCATGAGTTTCACATGTTCCTATAAGATCTGCAAGATATTTCATGGGTGATGCTTTAATACAAATATCTAATTCTCGTAACATATGCCTTTTGTCAGATGTTTTCAATAATTTGTCAGCTATGCTATGAATAGTTACAGCACAAGATTTATCATTTTTCTGAATAACACCTGTATGTACTGTACCAAATCTTCCTCTGCGTATTATAGTATCATTGATTGTCAATGAACTTTGTGGTATAATCCACACTTTTTTTTTCAGTTCTTGATAATGATTTACTCTTTCAGGTACATCCTCCGGAATATATGCTAAATTATCAACTTCATACAATGGACCTTGTAAAGTAAGTTCTTGTTGCTCTGGAAGTTTCCTCATCCGAAATTTTTTATGGCGTTGTCGCAATATAAAATAAAGTACTATTGAAGCTACAAGTAATGTTCCTAAAAGACCAATTGCAACACAAAGTACGATTGTCATTGAATTCACATTGTCACTCCTCTTTTCATTATAATTTGTTAGTTTGTTGATTAAATTTGAATAAGCATATTGAACTTGTCGTTGAAATTTAGAAATTACTATTAGACCTATTTGTGGCATTATTTGTGGAGTATTTAATGGTGCATTGTAATATGCGCCAATCATTTTTCCATCACCTACTGTAAATTTCATATATTTGTAAAATTCTGAAGATTCAAACTCTCCAGTAATATAATATCCCAGACCTTGTTGCATTGATGTTTCATAATTGTAGTAACTTACATTAGGACCTGATGGTGGTATTATATCAGGTTGAGAAACAAATATTTGATATGCACTAATAGGACCATATTCACTACTTCCCTCTAATAATAAAACAGTTACTGTGGTATGTGTTTGTTCTATTACTTTTGGCATTATTGGCTTATTAGGTGGCCCTATCAAAGTCCACCCGGAAATATATGTAGGTTCACTATCTGCATGAGTATTTGTAGCAATGATTGATACATTATATTTTGTGCCAGGTTGTAAGCCTTGTAATGTAGTACTATTTGAAGCTCCTCCTTGGATCTGACTTTCTATAACTGGTAATAGATTTGAAGCAAATGTTTTAACAACCATTGCTTTTAAAGTATAAGATGTAATATTTCCATTGCTAATATCAGATGGTTCCCATGTAATTTGCAAATTATTAAATCCACTGTGAATTATTTGTACACTTCTTGGTGGGCTAGGACCTAAATATATATTATTCTTATTGTTCTTAAATCTATAAATATCAAAAGTAGACTATGGATACATATTTTTGTAAAAATATACCTGTTTGTCCAGTTGAATAAATACTTATTGCATCCTGGCTACCACAATAGCTGGTTTGATCAGTAATACAGAAAGTGCAAGAGTTAGCTACACCTTTTCTACCATAACTACTGCCACAAAAGCATTGTTGACCATTCATTAATCCGGCAAACCTATTAATTTTTATATAAATTAATGTTATATCTTAATTTAAAAATACTAAATACTATAATCTTTGTAACAAATATTACAATATTACTATTATTTACATGTAGTAACGTGAACGACACTCTTTAATACATTCTGCTGGTGCATTAGCGTGATTTAATATTAAGACTGATAAATCAGGATCCGACGCGGAACTTTGAAAGCAACCTTCGTATTTTTGACTAAGTACATGATCACAGAAATGAAGAAGTAGAAATAATATTATCATTATATATAATGTAGACAATCTTTATAATTCAATTTTTATTTATATCACTAATTATAAGTACAACCGTATTAATGTAACATTCTTTCACAACAGTTTATATCTGAATCAATAAATGAATGGTGGCATCATATTCAAAACGAAGAAATGAGGTTAATTATGCACTGATCTTTGTTCTTTTCGATTGTAAAAGAATATTGCCTATGACTCTTTATCATTTTTATGATGATTGACAATTTACAGGACTCTTTGTATTAAATAGGATATTGAATTTTATACTATTTCACGGGTGTGGTAGCATCTATTTACTACCTATAGTTATTACTATGATTAATGTCCATTCACTTGTGGCGCTAGCATTCATTTTATTCAAAATGGAATAATAACATTAGTTCCAGATATGTGTTATATTTTTATTTTATTATTTTTCGCAATTATTATACTTATTTTTATATTATTTTTTTGCAAAAAATATTTGTACATATTTTCTTTATTTTACTCTGATTCCTATTTTATACTTTGATCTTTTAAAATAAAATAATTGAATATAATTTTATAAAAATATTCATAAATTTTATAGATATTTTTATTAACATAATTAATTATCAAATCAAAAAATTACTTAATACTTTCCTTCATAAGTATAATACATTACTTTATAGGTAATATTGTTAACTACTGAATATGCAACTGCGAGTAAGAAATGAGTAAATAAATTTAATCAAATAATATATTTTATATACTTCATTTTATATTTCTTCAAATACAATATACAATAATATATAAAATGTACGATAACATATACATATAAGTATATCCTATACCTGGTACATATGCATTATTTTCACCATTTATTTATTATTCATTTATAATATTAATAATCTGATTAGAATGTAATACAAATTAATAATTAAATTTTATTATATTGTTTCTAATAATTTTGTTGACAATACTTTAAGAATCTTGTGCAGTGCTGTTAATAAATATACATGTATTGTTTGCTTAATATAATAAATGTTCAATCATATATTCTATCATTAAATTAAAAGAATATTCATGAAAATAAAAAAGCTCATATCAGGTATCTTATATTAATGAAATATGATAAATCAAAGTATGATGAAATACTAGTATTATAAAAAAGATTACAAATGCACATGTATTTATTTAATTACAATACATTTTTAAGTCTTTAACAACACTGCTTATCTGGCACAGGTACATGTAACTTAAAAAAATACAAATTAGTTATCACAAATTTACTGTAAATAAATTGTCGCTTCCATCTATATATGGCTCTTATGATATCTAAATATATACAATGATCGATTATGTTTCACGTAACAATATTATGTAGACATTAAATCTAATACAAATTAAATTATACTAAAAGAACATAAGATAATATTATATGATGTATTGCAATATATTAGAAGCATAAAATGTGTATTTTTTAGTTACATGTTATATATAAAATTTAAAATCGAATTAAAATATTAGTCATTTTATTTATGCTACACACGCATTCTTGTTGATATATTGTAACTATAATAACAAAAGTAAACTGTTATATTTTAATCATATGTAAGCACTTAATGGCTTAATACTGATCTCGTGAGATTGAGTAATAACAGTTTACAGGTGTATTATTTTTACCTACATCTGGCTACTTTTAATTATTTCAAAGTATACTACAACTTTGTTTATGTTATAGACATATTTAGAGTTTGAATATATGTCCTGATACTTCAAAAAAATCATTTACATAATTTTTACTAATAAATCGATTTCTATATTTTTTAGTTATAAAATAATTACAATATTCAAACAGTTCATTATTAATGTTTGAATAAAATATTTTACTCGATTTCATTCATTTATGACGATAAAAACAAATTAAACACTTTAAAAACTATACTTCATTATAATAAAGTAATTTAGTGAAATATTATCTATTTAGCATATTGTGCTTTTAGTCATTTTATAAAATAAATAAACGATTCTTAAAAGTTCAAGAAACATATCTTTGATTTAATATTCAGATCATTTGTTTATTATGACATTAAATTGCGTATTCTTTATGTATGCAAAAGTAGTAATTTTTCATTACTGTATCTATTAGTAAGTCTCTTTTCAGTTGCATTGAAATTATGTTTTTAAAAGGAAGCAATGTAATTTTTCTAAATGTTAACTGAACTATTTATAATTACGTGTTCAATTTTTAAAATAACTCTTATATTAATTATACAATTTGTTAAATGATAAATTGTGATAGTAAAACAGTCTTACAAAAATTGATGTTCTAAAGACACCTGAGGCGTTCCTAATAAATGAAATTTTGTCCTTTAAACAGGAGTTTAATCGAGAGTATATTCTTACAAAATCTAAATGAACTAATAGGAAATAATACTTAATTATACATCCATTATTTAGATAAATCGTTGGTAATTCCATTCGAGGAATGAAAATATATAATATTTAGTAAGATTTATCATACTTATGTAGATGGAGCTTTTCTTCTTCTGCTGCTTTGTATTTGTTTATAAGATTTTTTGTTTCCAAGACCTAATATATTATACATGAAGAATTAAAAAATATAGACATAAATGTAAATATAGCGAATATAGATAAAAATACAAACATATTCTACGTAAGAAAAATCTGAGAAATATCTTACGTTTTAATTGAACCCCTCGGGATCGTGTCACACGTGGAGAAGTCTTCGCTAGAGAAAGCGTTGTCAAAGAAGTTTTCTTTTTTAATTGGGCTATTTGTTCCATGGCTGGTGTCATCCATTTTGTTTTAAGATCTCTGTTAAAAAAAAAAATTATTAACAGTGTTATTGTACATAATTTGACAAATTAAATGTACTTACTCTAATGATTTTGGTAAAGATTTTCGAAATGCGCTTGATTGTTTCTCTTTCATTCTTTGAATTACACTTAACATGGCATAAGTAGGTAAGGATGGAGGAGGTGGAGATGGAGGTGGTGTAAGTGGTGAAGGTGGAGTCTGTAGACTAATTTTTGCTAATTTATCAGGGTGGAGTGCTAATACTGCTTCCCAACAAAATTCTTTTCGTTCGACTGGGTATTTAGGTTGTGTGTTTCGCGTTATGCGAATCTAAAAATAATATATATTATTTTATTATAAAGTAAAATTTAATATTAATTTATTAATGAATGAAACATACCTCGCCATTAACAGGTCTACAAGGTTTTCTTTCTCGTAAATATGGTCGTTTGAAAGAAATGGGATAAGAAATATTTTCATTAGATTCTTTTAAAGGATGTAAACATGTAGGAACATCATTTTTTTGCCTAGAACCAGACTGAAATAAACTACGTAGATAGGAATAGTTAGGTTTAGTTTCAAATCCCAATTCAGTAATATATTTCATGTACTCCATAATGGCAGCTAATAAAAAATATTAAATATTAATATTTAATTTTTAAGAATAATTGTCTAATACATCAATCATGAATATTTTTAAAATAATAGTTTATCTAATTAAAATAGAATATATTTGAACGTTATTTTTTGCACTCGAATAAAATTAAATTTGTCATATTGAAGTATAAAATATAATAACTTACCAGGTGGTTCTTTTTTATAAGGAAAACATTTATGCATAAATGATGATAAATTAGAAAGTAAAATTTCTTTTTGTGCATGGACTTCTTCTGGATCCATGGTTGATGTTACATTATCATCTTCTTTTTCCCAAGGTAATTTACCACATAACCATTGCAGTATATTGTACCCTAATGTTTCTAAATCTCCTCTTCTTGAGTGTGCTATGGTAATATCAATTTGTAATAAAATAAAGTGTAACTTAGTATAAAAAATAAATCATTGAGCTCTAAAACAATAATTACCAAATACATGTATCAAATTTTATGATACTTACTTCCATGATGTGCATCTCTTGATGTAAATTCTAATGTTCCTTCATGAGCTCTTCTTTCATCATGAACAAATGATTTATGTACACCTGTACTTGTACGAAAACGATAAGCCAATCCGTAATCAACTAAATAAGCTTGAAATTTTCTTGTTGTTATATCTTCTGTACTTAAAGACAATAGAATATTTGATCCTTTAACATCTGCATGAGCATATCCTTGACTGTGAATATATTCAAGTGCATCCAACTATATGTGAAAAAATAATAAAATTACAAAATTATTAAATTTAAAAATTTTTAATTTATTATTTTTATAATAAGTACCATTTGAACAGCTAGCCTGTTAACAAGTTTGACTGGTAATTTTCTCCCGTTTGATATAAACAATTTTCCAATATCAATGCCATATCTTGGAATTACTAAAAATCTATACTTTTGACCTTGGTACATATAAGAACCAGATCCCTCATATGTTGGAACACCTATTCGTCTTTTTCCTTGTGATTTGCACCAGCTATCAACTAAAATTTATAATAATAATCCAGATATAATACACATGCAAATATAAAATATATGTACATAAATATACAATTAAATTATTTACTCATATGTTTACGAGCTGCTCTGATATAAAAATTCATTTCAACAAATAATGGACCATTGTTATGTGGTTCGATTTTTATCACATACTTTGCATCTTGTTCAATTGGAGCATTAATGTCATTTGATGCTGTAATGTAAAATTCTTAAATTTAATTTAATAGTAATAAGTATTATAATACAACATTCAAGTAGTTTATTAAAAATACATAAAATACATTTCTGTTTATTTGACTATGAATAGCACTAATTTCAATAAAACTAGATTTGAATAAAAAACAATACCTAAGTATATATCACCAAATCCACCATATCCTATTGCATGTCCTAACTTCCATTTGTTTTGAGTAATATCTGTTAATATTACTCCAGCTGGCAATCGATCTGGTAATTTGCAACCTAAAGCTGCTACTCTTTTAACAGGTATTTCTTCAACTCGTCTTGGTGCCATTATCACTATATAGTCATTTATATAAAATTGAATTCAAAATTAATTCGTATATTATATTTATTATGAATAAAGGATTATCTAATATCATAGTTATCATAGTTTATCATAATTTAAATGTAATTATACAAGGAAACTCATATAAGATCATGAAATAATGAATTAATGTGACCAACTGCTTTTTGTGTGAAATAAAATATTAATATAAAAAAAATTATATCATTAACTTGTGTTTAAATTTTATATTTATTAGATATAATAACAAAAATGTTCAATATAAATAAAATGTGAAAAATAGGTATAATCTAGTTAAATCTAATAAATTTATGTGTAAATAATATATAAATTGTTAATTGTACAAAAGAAATATTTATGTACTGAAATATGTAAAAAAATTATTTTTATGCATATATTTAAACTGGATAGATTTTATTATACATTACGAAATATTACAATCGTGAAAATCTTTAAACTTTTACATCAGAATAATGATACATTATTCAAATTAATTGTTCAAATTAATATTTGGATATAACCTATGTTGTAAACAATTTCATTTATTATTATAAATGAAACTAAATATATAATTTGTTATTTTAATTAAATAAAATAATAATTTGACACACACACATGCATTACTACATAATAAGTTTATAATTCAATACTGCACTAAACTAGAAATAGAAAAAGTAAATAGAAATATGTTTTCTATGTTATTATACAATAACCGCTGCTAATGCAGTGAAAAGTGCATTATTTAAATGCCACTTAATAAGGTTATTTAATAAATACAAATTACGTAAATATTACCATAAAAATTATCATCACTACTTCTACTATTTTCTCTACGTACAATTCGCTACCTTGCTCTCTGAAATAATGTCGTTTTCCATTCGAGTAAACTAGACTAAAAAGTATAATTTTAAGGATTCCATGTTCAACTGTCAACTAGTTAACTAATAAAAAGCTAGACTATTGTTTCGTTTTAGTTTATATACCTCAGAAGACGAATTAGAGAACATTGCATAAAGTCTCTTTAATGGCTTGGCACATCGGAATCTTTAATAATTTAAACTATTTCTTTTTTGTCTTTTGAAATTCTGATTATGCTCGAAGATTTCACCAAGCGTAAGAATGCACCACACTACCATTTCATGAACTAAGATATTTAACGGAAACTGATCAACTTAGAGGGCGTCCTTAAATTTATATTTTTTTAATCAAATATATAAACAACACTAATGTTAACAATTAAATATTATTTTATCACAATTATAAATATTTTATAACAATTAAACAATATTTTACTACAATATGATGATTTCCTAATCCTATATAATATATTTATTTTTATCAATAACTTTTGATAATTGATTTATTGCTTATACTTATATACTCAATTATTTATTTTTTATTATAGTGTTAGTAGATATTTTTTCTTATTGTAATTATACAATCACTAACATTTGTCAAATTTATATTATTAATATTAAATATTAATATTAAATATTAAATATTAAAAACATCAATAGACATCGTATCTGGATGAAGAAATTGCAGCATAATTTCAAATGTTTTGTAAATTTTAAAACGACGTTGTAAAAAATTATATGCAAAAGGCGATATGATTATAATGTAATTTGATGCATAAATCAGTTTTTTTGACATTAATATACTTAAATATAGATTTGTTTTGTCACATTTAAATGACATTTCAATTTTGTCACATTTTAATGACAATGAATATGAAAGTCATAATCTGAATTAAAATTTATTCGAGAAAAAAATTGTATATAATTCAAGATATTTAATATTAATTTATTTTGTATTAATAGGGCTGAATGAAGATGTATAGGGAATAGATTATAAAATAAAAGTAATATATAAATATTCACATGAACAGGCTGGTTCTTTTATGATGAGTTTTTGAATCCACGGGAAATGCACTATGTATCAACCATAGCCTTCTAGAAGCAATCAGCGCATGAAGCCGTAATGGACGGAAAGAAGTGATTACTGGCTGACGGATTGTGAAAGTGGAAGTTTCAGTTTGTGTGTTTATTGTAATATTTTTTTAGGTCTAAAGTCCTATTAATATGATGTAAATATTTTTTGAACGATGATTGATGCTTTATTTCTATTTTCAAGTATATTATGTAAGTAAACGGTTGGTTTTTTGTTGAAATCGTTTTAATGGTTAGAAATACTAAAGCATCCATTAGTATCCTATCTGATATCTATAACTATTATTACGAAAAACATGTTTTCACGCAACAAATTTACATACTGAATAATGTTTATACATCTGTACATAATTTAAATATTTATTTTGTAAAATTAATTAGTACAATATTAAATTAATATTTGTATTTAATCAATTATATCATAAGAAAATGTGTTTAATGAGACTTATTTATCAAAGGTTATTTATTGACAATTTGCATTTATGTTTTTATAATTACTTGATATAAGTTATGCAGAAATTAGATTTCATTTATTTATAATCATTCAATTTTTATAATAAATTTTATAAGTTAATATGTATGTATGTAGCAATTATATATATATATATATATAAAATTGCTACATGATGTGATATATATATATATATAATTGCTACATGATGTGATATATATATATGTATATATATATATATATATATTCATATCAGTAAAAATCTGATGTTAAAATAGATCTTCATATTCTTTTTAGATTAATTGTAATAAATATGTATTATGTATTAAATATGTATTCTTTTTAAATTAGTTGTAATAAATATGTATTATGTATTTTAGTGAGGACATTGACATAGTATTATTTAAAATAAGAAATGTCTTACCCTGGTCAACCGCCAATGGGAATACCAGGCATGCCACCAATGCCTTACATGGTTGGTGCGCCTCCTCCAATTATTGGTGGTGTAATGCCTATGGCACATGTAAGTAAACATGAAATAAAGCATTTTAAAAGCATGTTTTTGTGTGATGTCAGTAAATTTACGATCTTCTATTAAGAATCTTTTGTTTTTGGTTTTAATAAAGTAACTAATCATTTTGTTGCTTAAGACTATGTTTAATATAATATAATATATTAATCCTTTGTTATTTATTATATTCTTTACTCTTTATTTAAAATAATAATTAGAAGTTGATAATCATTTGTAATACTATATAATTTACTTGTGTTTGTAATAAAATAAAAATTAATACATCCAAGTGCCAGAATTTTTCAATAGTAGCTAAAATATTTTTAGTTACTCTGAGAAATAAAAGTAAAAAGCATGTAATGTTTAATTTTATTAATGTTGTGCAAATAAATTAATATGTTAAGTAGTAGAAATTCTCACATAGCTTTATATTTTGAAGCATCACTAATTATATCATAATTAAAAAATTAAAAATTTTTATATACAATACAGTTGTTTTACAGTTATATGCTAATACAGTTGTCTTGTATAATATATCAACGATGTCTTGTATAATATGTAATATATCAATTTTGTATTTAAACTATAATACTAAATGGAATGCATATTATTTAACTATTTGTGCTATATGATCATTTTTCTAAAGATTATGTTTCTTGTCACAAATTTTCATCTTAAGTTCTTTCTATCTGATATATGCATGCCTTCTTTCTATAATAAAATATAATTAAAAAAAAGGAAGGAAAAGATTAATGTGCTATTAGGGGGAGGGGAGATTTTGGACTGCATGAGTAGAGATGTGCATTATTAAGAATACTACCATTTATAAAACATAGATGATTCCAACACCCGTATCTGCGATGCAGACCTCAGCTCCAGCTGTTCGGTATGCACGTAACCAAAATCGTCATGACAATAATCGTCGTCGTGAAAGAGAATCTGGACCACCAGTTACTGTTTTTATTGGAAACATTATGGAAAGAGCACCTGATGTGATGATTCGACATATTCTCGGTGCATGTGGTCATGTGCTTTCATGGAAAAGAGTCCAAGCATTTGGATTTTGTGAATATGCAGGTCCTGATGCAGGTCTTAGAGCAGTTAGATTACTCCATGACATGGAAATAGGTACAAAAAAACTTGTTGTCAAAGTTGATGCAAAAGCTAAAGTTGTTTTGGATCAATTCAAAGGTAAATTTAAAACACAAAGTATATTTATGTACATATTGATAGTTTATTTTGATTTGTTATTTTTTGTATATGATAGCGGAAAGAAGAAAAAAATTGAGAGGAGGCCAGTCACCTCTACAGGATGAAACATTAATTGAAGGGACAGAAGGAGAAGAAGGTGATGATTACATGGATGAGGGTATGAGAGTAGTGGATGCAGATGCACTAACGCGTATTAATCAAATCATAGCTGAACATGCTACTGATTTAGAAATGGCTCAAGCTACACCTGGTAGTACTAATTCTATTTATGGCAGTATATTAAATTAAATTGAAGAATTAACAAATATTATTTTATAATGTGTTATAGAGGAACATCAAACAAAAATGGTTGCAAAATCTTTGAACTTGGATGATGCGGAAATAGAAGAAAGTAAAAGAGACTTGATTACCCGAGAAATTGGAAAATTCAGGGAGGTTATGAAGGTAATTATTTTCATAATTATTTTAGAAATCTTGTTATGTCATTCCTACTTTTTTGCTCTTCATTTTGGTCATATTGTTGGATATGATATACCAAGATATTAGAAGGTATTATGAATTGTGGTCTAATAGGATTGGGTAAAAACTTTGCAAAAATAAGATATTAACAAATTGTTATAAAATTATTAGTATTGAGTATATAAATTTTTTACGAAGCATTATAAACATTATTCTATATAACATATAATCTTAAAAAAAAAATTGTTTTATGAGCAATAATGTTTGTTACATGTTTTTTTGTGTATATGATATAAAAAATGTGTATATGATATAAAAAATCATATTTTTTAAAGCAAAATTTTAGTTGCAACATATGATATTATCACAATTCTTTTATTTTTTTCTACGTTTGTTTAATATTTAAGTGTTGATAGAGATATCGTTTGTCTCTATTGTATAAAAAGATATCTATATATACAAAGATTGAGAATATGTTTGTAATACTTTGTAGTACTTATTCTATTATCTTCAAAAAATATAATATGAATTTTATTTTGTTTTTTAAATGATAAAGTAAAATGAATCACTTAATACATAGAAAGAAATAGAAATATATTAAAGTACTATTATTTCAAAACTTTATCAAATTAAAAAAAAATTTATACAATGTTTCTAAATTATAGTTGTAAAAATAGTTATAATAAGTTTAACAAGTTTACAATACTTTTTGATTATATCAATGACTAGTGAATTCATAAACTACATTTAATTCATTTTAAACATTTTCTATTTTTATTAAGTTACAATTAATACAAACATTTCTATACTGTACTATAATGAATACTACAATGAAATGCATTGTGAATATTATGGATTTATGAACATTTATGCATTTGATTATATCTATGATTCACGTTATTGATTGAACATGAGACAGTTATTGATTGAACTCGCAACATATTTACATAGTAAATTAAATGCAGGCAAAAGAGGATTACAAGTGTATAGTTATAAACTTTAGCTTTTAAGTATATTGTGATAAAGTGCGTGTGTGCTATGTTAGCTCTAAATAATTGGAGCCGTGACTCGTTGCTATAATTATAATAACAGGCAGCGTGCGTCGCACACAGCAAACGCACACGCCTAGGAATGCTGTGTGTGGGGACCACTCTTTCACTCACTCATTGGCTCTGAAGGGAGTCAATCACAGCACATCCCTCGTATTTTCGCAGGCAGCTGCAGCCTCGTCGGTAAGTCAGAGTATATCCAACCAACAAAACATGAAAAAACAAGAAATGTGCAATATTAAGACGGGAGAATCTCGTAACTCTACAACATGCTGACACCATGTAGCCAATAAATCTGTTTCTATTGGAACTCCATTTTCTTAACTCATCGCATATAATTCTGCGTTATAATAATAGCATTATTGCTATTGTATTTTGAACACAAGTTATTCCATACAATCAAATTTCTTTACCTGCTTCTATACTTTTTGTGCTAAATTGCTAGCACTAATATTTTCATAAAAATGTAATGTATTTTTACATAACATTTTGTTCAATTTCAAAGAAACGACATTAAGAGATTAATTCTTATAAAACTCAGAAATTAAAAATTTGTGTAATAAGTACAGTTTGAAATAGATACAAAATTATTATTATACTAATATTGAGATTGAAAATGTTTTTATAGTAGTACAGATAATTTTTTCAGTTGAGTCAAAAGAAGTGTCTCTAATTATAGTATGAATCATATTCTTTTGTTTTTATTTTACAGTATATAGTTAATATCAATTTTTGATGACAGATCACATCTTTGTAAGTCAATTAGCAAGAGGATCATCTTTATGTAAGATTGATATGAACAAGTTTAAACAATAATATCAAATTAATAACAGATTACTATTTCTGAAAATTTCATTATACGATTCTTTTCTGAATGAGATACTATAAAATTGATTAAAATTATTTTATTTGTTTAATTTTCATATAAAAATTAAATAATTGTATTGTATTATGTTGTTTTACTGAGATTATAATTTATTTTTATATTTGTATTATAAAGTCTAGCAGTCTAGTACAGATATATATAGAAGGTCAGTAAAGTGACATTCCAATTGTTTTTACATATTGTTTAGGATTGGTAAAAGATGTTATATTGAACAAAGAAATTTGACGCTGACATATTTTATAATATATTCTTAGATTATTAATAGGATCGAGACTTTCTGAATCCTACACACAATGAAATGATTTTGTCTTCACAATGGCGACTGTTCAGTTGTTGTCTTTATTTTGTGTAAACAGCTTCTGTCAGCGTCTCGATCAGACATGTAGTACCTAGGTGCGCGCTCCTCCATTCTCCGGTACCACCACACTGACTGACCAAGTCAACTTCACACCGTGAGTAAACTCCACAACCATGAGCCAACACAACCATTCGGTTCTTGTAGTTTTGTTAGTGAACTGCCCATCTGAATACCTATGACCACTGATATTTCATATTTCAACAGTCTGTTTTTTTCCTCATATGTGCATCTACTTTTATGCACTCAGTTACTCTATACCTATTAGTTTAAAAGAGTATGGGTTATTGTATGGATATTTAATTTTGAAAAATAAGAGAAAACAATTCACAACATTGAATATGTTTTTTCTTATGTATTATAGTCCATTGTTGGTTTTATGTACGGCTTATTAACAATATCATTATCAGGAAGGAATAAGCATCATTAGGTTTAATAATTTTTTCTTATTAAAAAGTAATATTCATCAGAGTCTATGATTTAGGACTCTCCAAGCAATAACCCATTATTGTTACTATTATATCACGTAAGGATGAACCATACTAATTTATTTCTAAGACGTTACGTTGATAATACGGGACGATAAGGGTGGGCAAACTATTGTGTATTTGATATCCAACAGTTTGCTGCATCAGCTGCATAACCAGAAGAAAACAAAGTTGACAGACGTGTGACAGTTTCTTGGCAAAAATGAAAGATGTTTTGGTGGAATCCCTTCTTCATGATGACTCCGCTTCTGATTGGTATAATACTTTCTAATAATTATTGAGTATTGACAAGAAATCTAAATATTCACCCCTTTCGACTCTTAGACTTATATAGCTTTAGACACTATTGATTTACAGGCACATTTGCAATGTTGTAAGTACATTGGGTGGCCTCTACAATGCGTCTGTTAGCATTAAGGTATTCTTAATTTAAGTAGAGCTTAAGAAATTTCTTATGCTTGTTTCCAAAATTTATACCTGCACTTAGGTAATTGATATGTAAACAAGATTTCGTGTAAGATGCTGCTGACCGAGCATACTCCAGTGGAGTGAGTATACTACATTGAGATGAACAGAATTATCATATTTGATATGTGATTAATTTTTGTACAACTAGTAATCGTTCAACATTACAATCTTCGTAATGTTAGATATTAAAATTATTTATACAAAATTTATCAAATGACAATAAGTCTTTAGAAAAATAAATTTTTACAAATTTTCAACATAATGAATCAAGATTTCTTTTCGAAGTGCAAATAATTATTTTGTTGATACAAGATAATATCACTAGTTTTCGTGTACTTCAATGGTATTTAGAAGAATTTGTACAATATTATTTTTTAAACAATAAATAGATTGTTTATGCGAATATTCTACATGAAACATTTCACATTTTATTAATGCATATGTATCAGGGCATCAATGTTTTAATTTCAAAAAAAGAAATAATGCTGCACTATTATAGTGTAATGATATTA